GCCTGCCAACGTGCCCATGTGCCTCCGGGGAGAGGCAGGAGGCACAGCCGGGGCGCAGGGCCCGCTCCGGTGTCAGCCCCCGGCTCCGCTGGACGGAGCCCGGGTCAGCAGCGCCCGGCGGTGAGGCCGCGGCGGCCAGGAGACTCGTTCTAGGGCACGGGGACGCCAGGGCGCAGGCCGGCCGCCGGTCTGGGCCCCCGAGCTGCCCAGGTGCCAGGCGGCCGTGGTCCAGGGGCCGTTGCACAGGGAGGCTCGGGCGTGCTCCATACACTCCACCGACATCCTCTGTGGCCAGGGGCGTGGAAGCTGCTGCACAGGGCCGACGTGGCAGCGACAGGCCCCGGGAAGCGTCCCAGGCCCTGCAGGCAGGACCAGAGCTGCGGCAGAGCCGTCAGCGCCGGGGCTGCGCTTCTCTTCGGGCTACGGCTGTGGACCGAGGGGCGGGGCGGGGCGGGGCGGGGCGGGGCTCGGCTCCAACTCCCACTCTTCAGTTTTCTCCGAAATAAAGGTAACACAGTTCCAGGGTTGCAGGGGGCAGCTATGAAAATCTAACGCATGTGCTGTCTCCTCAGCTGTACGCTAGAGGTCACAGTGGTACTACCGTCGGGATTTTACGAGTTAATCCATGTGACGCGCTTCTGACCACGCCTGGCTCAAGCGAGCACTCAAATCATCAGGCAGGAAATCGTGCAGACCACGACCGTGGCCTGGCCGCCTCAGTCCGCGGCCTCCGCCCGCGCTGATGTGTCCAAGGGCTTCTGCCTTCAGTGACCGGCTGCCACTGAGAAAGGCAAACAGCCTCACTCTGCCTGTTGTTCTCTTTTCTTCTCTCCTTAAGAGGCAGCGACCAGAGTCACTAAAAAAATAAAATTCCCTGCAGTAGTGACTTTTTAAAACAGACACACAATACTTACCCATGACCATTCATTAAGCATCAATTCTGTTCAATAGAATATGAATAAAAATGTAGTGCCATCTGGGACGATAGCCCAGCACTGGCAGAAGGGTGAGTGCGTGGAAGCCACGCGACCGAGGCCGCCCACGGACCGCGCCGGCAGCGGTGAGCACCGAGGCAACGCAGCGGCCTAGCCCGCGGGTACCCACGGGATAGAGGACGCTTAAAAAAGGGTCAATGGATTTTTAACCAAACATCAAATGCTGTCCCAGAATAATGAGTAGGGACAAATACGTTTGATGTTTAAAGAAAAAGGGCGTTTCCTCTATAAATATAACTCACATGGCTATACAGATTTTTAAAAAGCCTTTCAGCTTTCTTACATGGGCAGCACGTTCGGAGACCCCAGCTCTACCCTAGAACATGCAGACAATGACTGTACAGCAAATAAAGCGAAAATGAAAACATAGCGTGGAAAATGTAAGAATTGGCTCATCCCTAAGTTACTAAAGGACATGAAAGATACATGTAACATGACAACATATCCCATCGCTGCTGTACCTGAAAATATTTTTAATGCCCTGAAATAAAACATGGAGCCAAACCATTTTACTTTTGACCCCGCAATCGCATGCCTTTTTAAGATGGCGTCCCCACGCAGGGCTGGACGAGGGGCTGACGGGCCACGAGGTGTTTGGGGTCCGGCCTGGGGAGCGAACAGCCTCCCCCTCCAAATCACAGCGCCCGCCCAGGCGGGGGGTGCCTCCCCTGGGAGCTTAGAGCCACGCGGGGCGTCTCCAGAGTCCCAGAGTTCCAGGCAGAGAGCCTTCCCGGGGCGACAGGGAGGGGCGGGCCAGGGCAGAGCCTCGGCGCGGGGTGCGGGCAGCCTCTCCACGCAGGCCCACTGCGCCGCGCGCAAGGGCGGCGGTCACGGCGTGGCCTCCTGACCACATGAGGCCCAGCCGGGTCTGAGTGCCGTCACGAGGGTCTTTCCTCTCCTGCTGCTCTAAGGGTGTTTTATGGTAAAAACGTTGTGGGACGAACGCACAACATAACAAAAACTTAAGACACAAAAAGAGTGGAAAGAACCCAGGTGAAAGAGGAAGACAAACAAAAGAACTCAAAAATAAAATACTTTCTTTAAAAATAAAGTTTAATCTGCATTACGTATAACAATGTGCCGTCTACAAACTCTCAGAAACAGTTTTAAAAGTGCACGTGTCAGGAACGATAATTCTGAAAACCGCCTAACTTTTTATTCCACATTCGCCCAACGTGCTCTAAGATCAGGCTGCCGGGTTATGTGCGTTTATCTACGTGCTTTTTGCTCTACCTTTGGGCTTTTACCTAAAATCTTAGAAAAGGCACATCTCATCACAACGGATGCGAACGTGAAGCCTGCTGGGAGCCAAGACGACCGGCGAGGCGAGCGGGTCTCCTCCCATGCGCGGCTGCAGGTCCCTGCGTGGCGGCTGCGTCCTCCTCGCCCCCGTGGGGTTGGTGAGGGGCCACTGTAAGAGTTCACCGAACCATCGGGGCGCTAGGACCTAGAGCCCCGCTGCCTTGAAAGAAAATGAGGTAAATAAGCATAAAGTATTGGTTAAAATTAGAAAACGACAGTGAGGAAGCCAGGTGGTCCTAATTATTCCCAACAGCTTCTTAAATTGAGTACTATGCAGCACGCAGTTCTACATTCTTTTTACAAGTGAAATGTAGTTTATTCAGGTTCTACTAAACCAGTTTGATACATTGTGTTTTGCCAAAATCCTGGAAAAACTAAGAAAGGGCTCCTAACACACAGCACCAGCGTGAAGAACTGTAGGAAGTACGCTTGGCCTCGGAGAAGACTTAAGCCTCTTTATAAACAAACGACTGGCCCTGGCCGGTGGCTCCCTGGCTCCCTCGCACCAAAAGGCTGGGGCTTCGTCTCCTGGCGGGGCACATGCCTGGGTGGTGGGTTCGGTCCTTAGTTGGGATGTGTGCCCCGGGCGAGCGATCGGTTTCTCCCCCCACCCCCGCTTCCTCTCTCTCTCTAATCAATAAACACATCCTAGGGTGAGGATTTAAAAAAAAAAAAGACTGCTAGTTGTACTCCACAGACAGACTCAAAATATTCTGTGGGCTTTAAAATAACCTTTATTTTACACTATCACAAAATTCGTGCTTTTCCCAATTTTGGTCAGTCTTCATTCACTCCAGCAAGGTCAAATCACTGACCTTAGTGTGGGGATAACCCTTTATTCTGATCAATTCCTTGCTTTCCTCCCGCCTCCCTGTCTCTGGGAATCAGGGTGGAGCCCGCGCCAGGGCGGCCGGGAGCCTGCTGCTCTGCGGACCGCTCACCGAGCCTGGGCCTCACCCACCGGTCATTGCCCTGGCCCGGCCCGGCCGTGGAAGTGCTGGACTTCCAGCCCTTATTCTAGAAGTTCTCACATAACTCTATTTCTTAAAATGGAGAGAACAGAAATCTCATTGGTGAGAACTGTTTCCAACAGCTGGCTTAAAACTGGACTTTGAGAACTGATTTTTTACATACCTTGGTTTAAACGGGGTCCTCTGAAGATCTATCTATCTCAAGGGTGGCAACTTTTTCCTAGGCATGAAAGGGTTTACAATTACGTAAGATTTTAAACTCTCTCTAGCTAATCAGTCTCAGCCAAGGATTCTCAGCCTTTCTGAAGTGACAAGGCATTGAAAAGTCCACCCAGTGTGGGCTCAGTGCTAGAGAAATTTCTGGTTTTCAGCTCACTTGCCTAGTCATGGTCTATGCTTAAAACGCCGAGGTAGGGAAGAATAGGGCCCACCGCAAGCTGGAGATTAGAAATGCTGTCATTTCATGTAGCCTCCCCAGCCCAGCAGACGCGCCTCCCCCCACCCCGTCCCTTCCCTTCTGCAGGTGCCAGCCCCCGCCCAGAAGCACAGGTGGGACTCAAGGAGCCCGCTGGCCAAAGGAGTTAATTGTATTGCACGGTTCCTGTTACCCACGTAGTCCCGCAGCCTCGCTTACCCATCAAGTAAAAGGACAGTGCCCAATGGTCCTCTTTTCCTGGTAGTTATGTTGACTTACTCAAAACTAGCCAGGAATTCAGGGATTTCTCAGCTCTGGGATACTTCTAAATAGGCTGAGAATTCCTAGTGTTACCAAAAATTATGCAGTCTTAATACGGTTTAAATTTAGTATTTTAGCCACTAGAATAAGGATTTGATTTCATCCAAAAAAATGTTCTAATGGTTAGTATTTGTCAGAAAATGGATCATGATTACAAATATATTTTACTGCAGCACGACAACATGCAAATAGTGTGAAGTTCTCAATGTTAAGAATTGTAGCAAATAAGGTCCTAAAATTATTTGGCTAGGCAATTAAAATTATCGTGACTGCTGTATGAAACTCATGTAAGTAAAATATAACACCAAAACAAATTCTCCCATTAATAATGGAAATGTTAGTTATGACTGCTTCGATTTCCCAGAATTTGGAGCTGGTCCTCACACCCCCAGCTCTGTGAAAGGGCCCATCGAGAGCCACGGCGCCGCTGCGTTTCCGGTCCCTCTGGCGGAAACGCGCCCCGGGTCTGGCTTCGTGTCACTCTGCGGACAGAACGAGCCACTCCGGGTGAAGGTTGTATGATGGCTTCTGAAGTGGGGTCAGGGTCTGAATGCCACAGGACCTAAAGGACTCACACAACAGAGCGGAGATTCTCTTTTCTGCCACTTTCTGCCCAGCGGGGCGCAGTTCCGCGGACGTGAGAACCAGACTGCGCTGTCCGCTACAGACAGACACAGGTTCAAGGGCAGGACGGTGTGACAACAGTAAGTGTGGAAAAGCACCCTTTTCCAGGATGTTCATGTAGCAACTGATACCCTCCCAGGAGGTGGGCAACCTAGTTCTTGCAGGCCCAGGAACGCACAACCCGGAGCCCCGGGGGCTGGAGGGGGAGCTGAGAACAGCGGGCTGGCCGCGCGCCTGGCACCTGAACCTGAGCATCCTTAGCAGACTGGGGACATCGGAAATAACACACACCCCATTACTTTATTTTTAATCAAAATGTGAAGCATTATCGCTGCAGTGAATAAAAATTCATGAATCAGAAGAGCATGCAATTTTTTATTGTTTTCTAAATCTATTTGTACACAATATTATAGTGTTAACTTCACAAACAGTATAAATGTACTGTAATGACATTAGGGTGCATCTACCTACCCAGAAAGAAACAAAATATTGCCCCGAAATAATCACTAACCACACAACACTGCAAATGAATAAACACTATGAATACTAAAGTGTCACCGTTCCAATACACAATGTCAATAACATCCTGTGGTTTTTCAACTGGCTGGGACATTTGTCAAGGTCATGCTGAAGGAACGCTTTGTGAGGGTGGTTGCACCCCAATACCAAGGCAACGAAACCCCAAGGAGCAACTATTAGTGCAATGACTGGTCAAGGAATAATTTATCCAGCACATAAATAAAAATCCATGAAGTGAAGAACATCGCAAATGTATCACTAGATTTAGAGAATCGACATCTACAATCGCACCATCTATAATCTGACGACACGCAGCCAGAACTGACTCCATGTGAATCAGCTACGTTAAAACGGCAGGACAACGGCAGAGAGCAATGGGGTCTGTTCCCGGTCCACAGGAAACTTATATGGGATCGCCTTTACTCTGTTACCCTCACTGGTACATGTTTTTAAACTTAAAAAAAACTCCTCCTTCCCTTCTCCCGCTCCCCCGCGGGCATTCACATGCTGACTTGGGGACAAACGAGGCTGGTCACAGTGCCCTGGGCGCGGCTGGCAAAGCTCTGGATTCACTTGATCTGCCGCTGACCTTCTGGATCGCACTGGCTGCCCATTCTCTCCCTCCGTAGGCATGTAGCCGGGCCCAGTGCTGCGCACGCCCTCCTTGGCCCTCCAGAAAAGGACACGCAGTGTTTCTGCTCTCCCCGCCGGGCCGCTGAGAACCAGTTCGAAGGTTCGGGTGCAGTCTGGGGCAGGCTCCCAGGCAGGCGGCGGTGGCGGGGCCGCTCTGGGATGGCGAGCAGTGCCCGGGCCAGGGAGGTTACGGGCCCGCCCGTGGGCCTCCCTCCCTGCAGCTCAGGACAGCTCAGGGCCTCGGGCGCCGCTCTGCGCACTTTCAACTCACTTTCTCATCCATTTTTAAAGCCCTCTTTACCCTCTACTTTCTACTCAAAATTTAAAAACCCTCTGATAAGCAATTTGCCTATTTATATAGTGGAACTCTGGTTCTCAATCTTTTGTCAGTTCCTATCTCTTATCCTTTACAAGCAAAACCGGCTTCTGCTTCACCCAACACCGGGCCTTCCCGCAAACATTTGATGAGTGAAAGTGCTACACAAGGGCCTCGAGCTGCCTTTATTTAGCCAATTAAACCCTTTCCATATAATAAAAAATCTGACCTATCTTTATGCTCAGATCTTGTCTCAAAAATTTTGATGGGGTCTGTTCCAATGACAAGTGTAACAGTGCGTTTTTAAGCTTCTAGTTACAAAGCCGGTGGCGGTGGACAGGCCCACCAGCCTTCCGACACTTCCCGGCCGTGCGGCGTGTCCGTCACCACACGCCGCCTCGCCGTTCCTTGTTTGCGAATGACGCGAAGAGCAACGACGAGCACAGGAGCCGACTCCGTCACGGGCACGGCACTGCTGTCCCGCCGGGCGTGCCCACCTTAAAGGATGCTTTCTCGCTCCTCCCCAAAGCCTGTGCTCTCGGAGGAGGCCGCCGCGAGGAGCTCAGAGGAGTCCTTCGAGAGCCGCGTGTAGCTTGAGCGCTGGCCTCGCTTATGCGCCATGCTTTTCAGGTTTTCATTCTGAATGGCCGCCGAGCTGGAAGCAGGCCTCAGGATGACCTGGGGGGCCTCCCGGGTGCCCTCCCTGTCGTCGAAGTGCTGCAGGGCCCTGTTGGCCGGGGCGCTGTTGTTGTTCAGGGTCACGGTGCTGGGCGTGCGGTTCAGGTTGTAGGCTTTCTGGCAGGAGGGCCAGCTCTCCTCGGGGCTGCTGGCGAGCAGGCTGCACTCAGAAGGGCTCTTCCTGTCCTCCGAGCAGATGGACATGCGCGCCACGACGGGGTCCGGCAGACCGCTCAGGCTGTGCGGGACGCCCCGGGGCCCGCTGCGGCCGTCCTCCTCAAGCTCGATGAGGTTGGCCTTCTCCAGCTGGGCGTCGTCGGCGGCTTCCGAGTGGTTGGGGGAGCTCTCGCTGGACCTCACCCCGGAGTCAGAGGAGTCCTTCTTGTCCAGGAGGGCGTCGGACAGGCAGTCCTTCGCCTTGATGAAGGCTCTGGCGGGCTCGGCGCCACGCTCCGGGGACCGGGGCACTCTCTCCGCCTTCCCTTCCGCCCTCTTCCCTTTGTCGTCTCTGAGCAGCGGGGTGTGGTCGGACTCCTCGGGCCCAGACTCGTCTTCGTCGCTCGGAAGTTTCTGGTAGCGCAGGCCCCCTCCCTTGAGCTTCAAGTCTGTCTGGAAGAGGCTTGACCTTTCCAAGGACTTCCTGCCCGGGAGGAGCTTACTGCCTGACTGGTCGGATTTCTCATCCTCTTCGGTGATGGGGTCCAGGGGCGAGGCGTCGTTCGTGGAGACCCCCGACGAGGAGTAATCCACGACGTCCCCCCTCTTCAGTAAGAACGACTTCCTCCCGTCGTCCTGCCTGGGCTCCCCGTCCTTCCCCTTCTCTGCCTCCGGGTTGGAGTGAACGGAGCCCCCCGATGAACTCTGACCCAGGTAATAGGCGCTGTGTGGGGAGGATCTGCCGCTGACAGTCGCGGAGCCCGGGCCCCCCTCTAGCTGTGACATCTGAGCAATGTACTCTCTATACGCGTCTCTATACTCAGCCTGCACCTTGTCAGTGAGCTTTGAGATTTCAATGCTGGAGTCCTGGGAATTGAGACTCGAAAGACTTGGGGTTCTGCGAGTCTGTGACTGTGAAGACAGAAAAAAAAATAATTTGGGAATTGAAGCAAGCAAAAATACAAACAAACAAAACCCCCCCCCAAATATCCGCTTAGTAATTTTTAGAGTCTTCAACCCACCAAATTCTTTTAAAAGAATCCTGCATAATACAGGTGAACAAAAGCTGTGAACTAGACAATTTTACTCTAAATAGCATTATACAAATTTTAATAAAATTAGATTAATATTTAAGTATAATTAAAGGTTGTATTAACAAATATATCTTAGCACTTGTTTTTATAACTTCAAACTTTTACCTTTTCTTTAAGGAAAAAGTAACCCTCATTGAGAAAATGGAAAAATTCCCTTTAGACCACAGAAAGATTAGATTTAAGCTGTATCTCAAAAACAAAATACTCATATCTACAATGTATGTTAAAAAGAATCTTTTTCAATTTGTAAGATATAACAGTTCTGTCAAATTTCAATTCATAGTAAAAAAAAATGTGCTCAAGATGCCAAAAAAAACCCAACCCATGAAGAGGAGCAGAGCGGGGAGAGCCACAGAGAGCGGGGAGGCGACCACGGGCCGCGCACGCGGCAGGAGGCGGGCCGGCCGGGGTGGACGGCCAGGCCCCAGCAAACAGGCCGGGGGTATTTTTAAAAGGTTGATTTACAATGTGAAGTTTTATGCTTAGACGGGTTTTTGATCCCAGAAAAGCTAACAAATGAGGAGTAAAAAGTACAGATTAGGAAAAAGAAGAGGGAACTGGAAGAAAAAGAATCACAAGAGCTGCAGGGACATGAGCAAAGGAGGAAGCAAGGAGCGAGGCGGAGGGTCCTGGCCGGGGCAGAGGGCCAGCCCCCGACTCGGCCTGTGGCGGCCCCGGGCTGTGCGCTGCGCCCCCTCCCCAACCCCCCCACCCCGCCAGGGGGGCCCAGCAGGTCTGGACCCCCTCCCCACGGCACGGAGGCGTCGCCTGCCTCTCCGCTCTCCGTGGCGGGCGCCGTCACGAGAGCCTGAGCACAGGGCCAGATGTGGACACTGAGCTGCTTCCTACTCAGCCAGGCATGATAAAGGTTTGCAAAACAGTAACGTTTCTGCTAAGTTTTGTTTTGTCTTAGAAAATATTGTCATTTTTCATACAAATGTTAATAGGCAATTAATATTTAAATAAAGGAATATTTTTAAAGTTTCTCCATTTCTATTTCTAGTATAGTAAATACTGACAGATAAAACTTATATGAACAAAAACTTTTTAGGGTCTTCAATAATTTTTAAAAGTGTAAAAGGTTTCCAAAATTTCTTTTTCAGAAAACAGTTTGAAAACTGCCGCATTAACAGGAAGGCGGAGTCTCCAGGCCACGGCAGGAAACACCAGTGTGGAGAAGCAGGGACACGTGCAAGGGAGTCCGGGCAGGAAAGGAGGAGCCACTGCTGCCGAGACACAGAGGCCGAAGGGCGCGAGTGGATCTGTCACAATGTGGAATGACGGGGTTTTTTCATTTTTGCCAACACCCAGCAATATAATGGTTTCCCAGCTTACAGAAATAAGGTAGATAGCATGTAGGAAAAGACAGTAACAACAGAAAACACTTTTACTACTGAACTAAACAAACCATCCTTAAAAACAGCAGACCCAGCAAGCGCGGCTTTCCCCAAACAGCGCTCTTACTGGCGCTCCTTGGCGGCTGCTTGCTGTTCTCCTCCCGCGCTTGCCTTCTCTCTTTTCTGCCCCCGCGTCTCCCCGACACTGTCCCACGGCCTCTCCCTTTTGGTTCTACTCCCGATCCCACCTGTTCGCCCTCTTCTAAGAGCGTCCAAAGAACGAGCTCACGCAGCTGAACATCGGGTAATAAAAAGGTGAATACCTGTGAGCGCTCTCTTTGTGTACCGAAAAACCAAAATATGGTGCTCAAAGGCACAGTATGTGGCACATTTTCCAGGAAAGGTGTGTTTTAACCAAGAATTAACGACTCTAACAGGAACGCAGCAGGCCAGAGACTGACCCCCGCTAACGGCCCGAACTGAGGCAGCCCGGCCCCTGCTCGCTCTCCGTGCCACTACCTATTTCGTTGTTTTCGCAGTCCTTATCAGTTTCTAAAGTAGCCTTGTTTTTCCTCACAGCTCCCTGAGAACACGGAGTTCTCCGTCTTATCCACGCAGGCGCTTGGGAAGCACCGTTTCTGAGTGATGACGTTAACGCGCTGACACAGTCCTGGTAACAAATCTCGCCCTTATCCTGCGGTAACGGGAGAACGGCGCCGCACTTGCCTGCCAGCTGAGGTTGCTGTGACGCGGGGCACCCTCGTCCAGGCCGAGCGTGTTCAGCTCCTCGAAGCTGAAGTTGAGCGTGTAGGGCGTCTGGCCGGCCAGCTCGGTGTGCGGCAGCTCGCTGTGCGAGGCCCGGCGGGCAGCGTCGCCCGGGGGCACGGGGCCGCTGCTGCTCTCGGTGAGCAGCCGGGGGTCTTCAGGGACCAGCTGGCTCTCCGCGCTTCTCATTTCTAGTACCTTCACAAAGGAGAGAAGTACCACTTACATCCACACTGACAAGTGACATTTTAGAAGGTCCAGAAATTATTCAAAACTAAAACATTACAACATTAAAACGTTATTGCAACGGCCATGAGAAGGCACACTCTCCGCCAGTGAATGTCCACGCCGTCTGCCCATCGTTCACTTTGCCACTGAAAGAAGTAACCGCAGTGACCACCCTACTGTAATCACACTGATTTGACCACTACGCTCTTATATTAGTTTAAAATTTAACCTAAGGACAGAAGCCACCAGGAGGTGTCCAAGACAGCCAGGGCTGGGCAGTGGCTGAGGCGGGGGAGGCAGGCCGTGCTCCGGAGCCAGGGCAACAGGGGCGCAGAGGCCTCAGGCAGAAAGCGACACAGACGTGGGGGCAGGGGCACGGTGGCGGGGGGCAGGGCGGGGCCCGCGGATGGAAACTGCCGGGGCGGGGGCGGGGGGGGGACAGCGGGGCCGGGCGAGGCGGGGCCAGGGGCAGGTGGGCCGCAAGGAATCTGATCCCACGCGGAGGTGAGCAGACCCGAGTGCCGGTTCTTTCTAAACCGACCGAACATGGTTCCTGCTGTAACCGGGCAACGTGGGCCAGACGAGGACAGACACCAAGGCCGAGAGGAGCCTGGCTAGAGGCAGGTCAAGGACAGGGTCTTTGTCAAAAGCGGGCAGAACGAGCAGGGGCCTCTCTCCCAAAATTCCCGGTGCAACGCCTGAAGGCCACGGCTGCCACGTGCTGCTGTGGATGTTCCGCCCAACAGAACACATGAGGGTTGGGCGGCCGTGTAAAGTGCAATTTCCATGTGCTTTTTAAAAACACGGAAATCTATCAATTTAGACCAACACTTACTGGCGCATGTTTTATACAGTGTTGTAAATATAAAATATCTTACTGCGCTTCTAAAAAGATGCCAGTCTCCAAAATTCATATTCATTTCTTTCTTCAGTTCATCAATATTACACTGAGCTAGCACACGGCCATTTATGTTTGCCTGAATAAAAACAAAGACAAATAAACAGAAGAAATGCAACATATTCTACATTACTAGTGGTTTAAAAGTACATTTTTATATATAGCATTAAGAAAACCATTAGAGACTAGAAAACTTGACCGAAAGAGGTTTCGTCCCATCTTAATAACGTAACAAACACAGTGCGTTTGAACAACGTAAGCCACCTCCCTGTTCCCGAGTGTCTCAGGCACTCAAGGGAAACACGTTGCTCTTCAGGACCAACCCAAGAGCCAGCCCCCCAGTTATTTCCGGAACTGCGTCCCCTGCCAGGAGTAACAACAGAGCTGTTAGTTTTTCTCCCCTAACCTTGTGAACGCCAATGCTAGTTGCTGGGCGGGGGCAAAGCTGTCTGTCCCTCTGTGTGTCGGCCCCTGACCAAGTTCTACATCAAGCAGGCGCTGTCAAACCTGTCCGTCACAGCAGATAGCTTCAGACATATAACATGTCCACCCACTCTACTAAATTCACACAGAATGATCGTCCCGAGCCAGTGTCTGCAATTCTAGCCTCCCCCCAGTAAGAAACGATGGAAGGTCCCTTATTGGTAACGGGTGGCTTACTGATTCTGGCCTGGTGAGCTGCGGAGCACCTGCGCCTAGAGCTGCAGGAGCAGGCCCGTGCCCAGGCCCCGCGACAGGACCCAAGCCCGTCGCAGAGAGAAGCCAGCTGCCCCACAATTCAGTGCTGAGCGGGGGGACGCCGCCATGACAGGAACAGAGCCCCCAGCCGGGGCTCCCGCGGGGGCCTCGCTGCGTCCTGACACTGGCCCAGTGGAGAGCAGTCGGTCTTGCCCTCCGAGGGGCGGAGCTGGACGCTTTTGCAAACGGGGGTCAGCACTAATCAGGTCTGCGAGGACAGGGCCACTCCCCAAACAGCTCAGGCAGGACGGAGGGGGCAGTGAGTATGACGGCGCCCCCAACACGGTGTTCTCTAATGCGCGGAACCACCGAGGCCCGCTACCCGTGTCCGCCTTCCCTCTGCTTCTCCACAGACGGAGGGCACCTCGGCGGGAGAGCGACTCTGGACGACCGGGCGCTCTGTCGGCCTGGGGAACAGGAAGCCGTCCTCTAAAAGGCCGGCATCGCTCTCCCATCCCGCGGCAGCGCTAGCACCGCAAGAGTCAGATCTAGGGAATGTAAGCCTCCTCCAGTGTCTCAGCCTGGCAACCCCAAACCTGTGGGGCTTGGCCAAACTGGATGTGATCAGAAGTCCTGCAAGGCAGAAAAATGAGAATCTGGGGGAAATGAAGCCAGTGCGGCTTGCTTTCGTAATTGTTAAGCCACAAATAAGTAACTACAATGAAAGGAAATGGAACACAACAGGCCTTTAAGTGTCCTGGGCTGCATGTGAGAAAGAGGAGTTCCTGTTTATCTGAGAGTGAAATCCCTAGAGCTCTCAGTCCTCAGTCAGGCATTTCTTACTTGTATCAGGTCATTGATAAAGCACCATGGTAACACAGCCACTTGATTCTTTCCTCCATTAACAAGTGAAGGGATCACAGGACACCGTGGGCTGCCCCTCAGAGCTCCGGGTCGGAGCTCCGGGTCTGGCAGCGCTGGCCGGCGGGCAGGGCGGGGCACGCACCTTCCGGATGGTGGCGCAGTACTGCGGCAGCAGGCTCGGCTCCAGCCCCTCTATCTGCTTCAGCTTCTCGCACACGGCGTCCACCGTCATGGAGCTCAGCGACACCATTCCCGAGGCGGGGCCCGGCCCCTGCAACAGCCATGGGAGGACACACGTATGAGCGGCACGCAAGGTCAGACACGGGCAGTCACGTGGCCACAACGCTCAGGAAGTGACACTGTGAAATGTTCTGATTCACAATGACGTTTCCACTGCAGTACAAACCAAGGTGGGTAGTGTGGGAAGTGTCGTTGGGGAATGGAGTTGTCTGCCGTTACACCTTAAGGAGCAGCTTTTATCACAGCACACAGCCTGACCCAGAACACTTCCCGAGAACGCGGAACATTCCATGGACCAAGCCTAGGCTAACTTAAACGGTCACAGCCTAACCTCTGGAGAGAATGGGGCAGCCCTTGGTGACAGGGCTTTTTTTTTTTTTTAATTAACAGGAATAAAGGGGGGAAATTACTGATGCCTCCATATAAAAATACATTAGGCAAATCAGTGAAGTAATTTAAAAAGTACCTAAACGGCTTTCAGTCTCTCTACAGACTAACTTCATAGTCTCCTGCAGCTGATGTTTTCAGATCCTGATCATATTTTAAATCCAAGGGATCTAAAACCTCCCCTCAAGAATCTATACAATAACCACGTAAACATAAAATAGCAGAATTACTTCTTAACATGTGAAAGCAAGCACGACCCATTAACATTTGGTCTCATTCAAAAGAAAAGTCAAAATAACCAGTATTTCTAGTACTGACTTAGAAGGAAACCCTCTTCGGAATGTGGTGACGTACTAAACAAGTATTTGCCTGAGGTCGGTTACACAAGAACCTCCTCAATGACAGGTAGGGACACTGAGGTCTAGAAGGACTCGTTTTATCTTCAAAGTCACAGAATGGAGAACTAGTTAGTGGTGGATCTGGACCAGAACCCTGGCAGAGCAGGTCTTAACTTCCTAAGTTCCTTGCTCTATTTTTGAGAAGTTTATATAAATGATAACCACGAGAGAGAGAGAAACCAACCAGGAGAGAGGATAAAGACATTTTCCCAAGTGATCTATCCTGTTTACCATTCAATCTAATCTTAAAATGATAAAATTTATCTTATCCTTAAGGATATGTAAATTTATATTTTCTACTGCCTCTTTTATCATTTTCAGGACAAAATTAGACTATAACAGCCAAAACTACCTGTCATTAAACATTTTCAGCCAGTTGCTCAATGTTATTTGTCATATAAAAGCATAACACATTATTCTATTATGAGCTGATAAATCTACAAACATATAGTATATACAGAGCATATCTCTATACTACATGTAAATATAAATATAGCTAGGGAATGAGACCATATTGAACAGACAGTTGGGGTAGTGATTTTACGAGAGTCAGGGAGTCTTAGCAAGTTGACAAGGAGATAGGCCTACAAAAGTTTGGAAATTAATGACTTGGAGTACATTGTATCAAACACATTTATTCCGTTTGTTTTTATTAAATATAAATTCAAAATATGCTGCATATTATGTAGTCCAAGGTTAAATTGCTTCAAAAATACTAACAGCAAAACACGCTACTTCAATAATTTAGTCTTCATACCTATGCAGGGCTCCATTTTCAGCCTGGATGCATACAGCCAACACTCAATGTCAGTTACGCACTATGAACATTTTCAATGCTTTCTATGCATTTTTAAATCCATCGGGGCAACCCTGGTGAGGAACATTCTATGAACTCCAGGTGCCGAACTTCCTAACGGGCCCTCTGCACACTGCGCTGGGAGCCCACCTCCCGAAGCCTCATCTCCTTCCGCCGCCATGTATCTGACCCCCTTTACTCTTGCCTCCCCGCCCCCCACTGGTAACTACCATCCTGGTGTATCACTCAGTTTGTTGCTTTTTAAATGTATCCCACATATGAGTGACACCAACGGTTCTTGTCCCTTCTCCCCCGACTAATTTCACTTAGCACAATGCTCTCAAAATCCTACCACATTGTCACCACTCTGAGTGGAATTCCACTGCAGACGTGCACCACTCCCGCATCCAGCCATCCACCAAAGGGTGTTCAGGCTGCTCCATGTCTGTGCCACCGTGGATACTGCTGCAGTGAACACAGGGGTGCGGATGTCTTTATAAGTAACTGTTTTTTAAACACAGGTCTTCCACTCCCCTTGGTAAGTTCATTCCTCGGTACTCCATCCTCATTGCTGTAACTGTAAATGGGACTGTTTTCTTCATTTCTTCTTTCGTTGTTGGTAAGTAGAAACACAACAGATTTCTCTGTGCCGATTTTGTATCCTGCCACTTTACTGTATTTGTCTGTTGCTTCTAAAAGTCTTTTGGTGGAGTCTTTCGAGTTTTCTATATATGGAATCATGTCATCTGCAAATAGTAACGGTTTTACTTCTTCATTCCCAATTTAGATGCTTTTCATTTCTTTCTCTTGTCTGACTGCCCTGGCTAGGAATCCCAGTGCTATGCTGAAGAATAGTGCAAGAGTGGGCATCCTTGTCTCGGTCCTCATGCAGAGGAAATGCTTTCAGGATCTCCCCACTGCGTGTGATATTGAGAGTCTGTCTTATACGGCCTTCAGTATGCTCAGGTACTTCCCTTCTAACCCATTTTATTGACTGTTTTAATCATGAATGGGTTGTATCTTATCAAATGCTTTTTTCTATTGTTACAATCATAAGATTTTTAGCTTTCATTTTGTTAATGTCGTATATGATATGGATTGATCTGCATGTGTGAACCACCCTTGTGCCCCCAGAATGAGCCCCACTTGATCATGATGTATGGTAATGTGTTATTCTTGGCTGGTGGTTTCTCCTCCAATATTACAAGTATTCCATTCCATTCTCTACTGGCTTCTAAGGCTTTTGCTGAAAAGTCTGATGATACTCTAATGGGGTGTTCTTTGTAGGATACAGTCTTTTCCCCCCCAGAATACAGAATTTATTTGCCATTAACTTTTGATAGTTTTGAGATAATGTGTCATGGACGAGTCTCCTTGTGCGGAGATAATTATGTGTTCTGTGAGCATCTTGAATTTAGGGGTCCAGCTTCTTTGAATCATGAGGAAATGGCAGCTAAACTCATATACAGGGATGGTCCACTAAACATCTGACCAGCGTCCTTCGAAAGTATTAATTAAGGTCATGAAAGACAAGGAAAGACTGAGGAATTATCACAGAGTAGAGAACTCAGGAGAGACAACAAAACTCAACTGAATTGGGGCCTGGATGAGAAAAAGGGCATTAGTGGAAAAAATGGTGAAATTCAAATAAAACCTGTAGTTTAGTTACAGTATTGTATCAACTTTAATGTCTGCTCTTGAAAATATACTATAGTTAAGTCTGAAATTATGTTAGAGTAAGAAGTTTTCTTTAAATCACAAAAGAGCTCCATTTCTGATTGCGCTGAGAGGGGCCAGCAGAACAGACGTGACACACACGGACTGTCAGCCGGGGCGGGGCGTGGCGGGACGCTGGGCTGCGTGCTTTGCGTGGGGAGCCTGCCTGAGGGTTGGGCAATAGGACTTCTTCTTTAGAACAAAAACCTTCACATAAGTTAACTTTCATGATTTCCTTTAAAACTTACATTTCATCAATTATTTTAAAATATATTTTCTCTATTGTTGAAGATTATATTAAAAATGTGTATTACCTCTGAATGATTTTTAGAAGCTTTTTAAGAGAAAAACAGACACACACATGGATCCCTGTAATTCCATCAAAGCTATAATCTGACTCAGGTGGTACTTGTAAGTTGAGCTTTATCAAGATAAAGGGTAAATTATCAATACATTAAAGTTTTATAATATGCTTCTTTGAAAAAAAGGAGAAATGGTCATTACCTGCCAGGTCTTTTCTAAAATAATCATATATAATAGAATTATTCTGGTACCAAATGAAAGTAACCAAAATAATGAATTTTGGTGGAAATCCAATCAAAGGAAGGAGAAAGAGTACAAAAGTGATAAGGAAAAGGCATATGCAATAATTCTACAGGTAAATACTTTGGCATAGAATGGTAACACTTTAAAGTTCATCATGCATTCTGATTTGAAAATTACCTGTTACAAGTTGAAAACATATAATTTCGGCATATACCGCAACATATTTTTTAAAAATTTCCTAACACACAAAATTGAATGCAGAAGATGTTAGTGTGTTTAAACTGTTAAATATAAATTCCAAAATGCACACAAGTCAAAATTTCTCCAGGCAAAACTAACAAAACAGACTAAAATTACCTTGATGTGACAATGTAATTTTATAGTGTAAGTAGATTAAAACTATACTCTGAAGCATCATCTTTGGTAGATTTATTAAGGACAGTTAGGACTAAGTAGCCAGAAATGAGTGCCATGCAAAGGCTGAATGCAGCTAGTCCCACCCACCCAGGGCACAGCTACGAGCGCAGGTTATTACGCACAGCCCGCACGAGGTTGCCCACGACTGCCTCTAGTGGTGTGATAGCGAAGATTTCACTGAAAGTTTCGGTACCTGTCTCTGTTTGTTAAACCCAGAGTCACACGGCTTTAAAAAAGAATAAAACAGAATGAAGGACACAGCTTTGAGGAAAACATCACATACAAATATATGTAATAAACATAATCAGCATTTTGCCATCCCTTCTATTTCCCCCGAACTTTGAACAAACCACCCCCACAGCTGCACGAGGCAGGGAACACCCACACACACGCACACAGCCGCCTAATTTCGTTAACACGTGCTTGGTAATTTTTAAACTGCACTCTCAAAATTTATATTCTATTAAAAGAATAAATCATTGCCATGCATTCAACAAGAAAGCCTGGTAAATCAAATCTGTTACGAAAAGTCAATAATCCTACTACATACAAATCCAAAGTTAATTGTTAAGCATTCTGATTTAAAATTGCAGTGATTTATTGCAGACCAATTTAATAAGACCTAAATACTTGGAATTCACAGGATCACTTCATAAAATGAAATATTCTCTAGCTACACTATAGTTAATGCTCAAAAACACACTTTTTAAATTTGGGGTTTGTTTCATGAGGCAGGAGGTACATACACGTGCACCAAAATGCCCTTTAAAAAGAAAGGGCCTCAGAGCCTGGCAGCTGGAGACGGCACAGCCACGCCGGCGAAAAGCACCGGCCTTCCCTCCGCGCTTAACGTCGCTGTCCTGGCTGCGGGCTGGAGGCGGCAGTAGTGTAAAAACTCTCATTCCAAGCAGACCCAGTGCGAGGAACTGCTCTCCTTACCTATCAGGCGGATGGCAAACATTCCTACAAGAGTGAAAACCACCGAGAGGACAGACAGTGCTGACTCGGTTGCCCCGGAGCGCTGCCTTCGCAGGAGGCAGGCGGCGCTCCGCTGGCTAACGTCGGGTGTGCGTCTCCCTGCGTAGTCACTATCCCAGCCCTGCGTGGGAACCTCGTTGCTAGTTTACGTATCGACCTGTGATAAGGAGGCTTTTTAGGGAGCTCTTATGCCTGTCTGTGGAGAGTAGGAAAAATATGAAGAAAGGAGTGCTAAGGGAAATACAGTTTACTACAAAAAACCCAAAACGCAGAAGAAAGCTATTGTTAACCTAGTTGGAAAATGTAACTTAACTCTTCAAATACATGAGACATAATAATTAGGTCAAGGTTGACGGATGAGGGTTAATGCCACATTTTAAGGGCAATGTTTTAAAAAACAAAAGTATTAAACAACTGCAATGAGCATGATTTTGTTATTTTTTTAACGTTTAACTATATTTTAGGAATTTAACATCATTACTACAATATCATATTTCCTTGAAGATATCTCAGTCAACTTAGTTGTGATTTATTGTTTAGGAAAAAGTTTTCTTTGAGTTGAAGTCTGGCACAAGGGCTTTCCACTTGGAAGTGAATATAATTTTTTCACTATATTATAAAAAAAAAAAAAGAGTTAATTCTTTCCCAAACTGTAACAGAACAATAAGAACTGAACCACTCAGGAAGGGCGAGAGCCTTGTGGGAGGCGTGTGGGGAGCGGAGGACAGGGAGGCCTGTCCTGGGCCTCCGCCGAGCGCCCCTGGCCCACGCCCGTGCCCCTGGCCCGCACCCGCGCCCGCGCCTCACCTGTGGCATCTTTAACGTTCCCGTCCAAGTCTGCTTCTGGACAACGAGAGACAGCTTAATAGGGACATGCATTTGTCTGAAAACAGGCTACAAGCTCTAAACCAGTGGTGGAAATAGGGATGATCTACAGCGGAGCCCCGTCTTTCTTTACTTTGTGCTCGGTCACTCCACTGGCTAGATCGTTTTAATGAAAACCGAGACCTTCATTTTTAGTACTTTTATTAATTAATTCAGTAATTTTCATAAATCTCTAAAAGTGATGGCCCACAGGAAACTGGGACACAGTTTTAACACCGCCTGTGCAATTCTGAAGTTCTGTACAATTGCACTTTGTGCCACTTACTCTCACGGCTTTTCAATAAGGTAGAACAGTGGCCTAAACACACAGCGCTGACCAAGGCCTAGGGTCGCCCTGCGCCGAGAAGGCCGGGTGAGCGGGGCTGAGCGCTCTCCCGCACGTGCCCGTGCCTGCCCCCCACCACCCCCACCCCAAGGGCGGGGCTTCATCAGCCCCATTCCCTGCTGCACCCCAGGACAGTGCCTGCCAGACACCCTGGACGCCGCTGAGCCAGACCGCCACACAGGCACCGGAAGAGCACTGTGCTCCACCGAGCAGGTTGACAAAAGGCTAAAGAAAGGCCTGTCATTCCTTCACTGGAAAAGCGTTTCTCGGGGAATCACACATGCCACCTTAAGAAAATGCATGCGGACCACAATACTCCTAAGAGTGACTCTTTGAAGCCCTAGACAAAGCGCCCCGAGGAGGCCTGGCTGGAGCCGGACCTCTTTGGCGGCCCTCTGGTAGGGGTCCCCAAGCAGGCCAAATGCCACGCACTCCCAGGGAACTGGGCTGGAGGAAGGCACCAGGCAGACGCCTGGGAAGCGCTCACAGTGCAGAAAGACTTGGGGCACACAAACCACCAAGAGCCCTGCGGAGCCTGAGAAGACGGGCGGCTGACGCCTTCCCAGCAAGGGAAGCCCGAGCAGGTAAAAGGCTGAGCTTGCCTAAGCTGACTGGAGCGCTTGTGCTGAGACAGAGATTCTCAAACATGAAACAGTTTTGGTTTCTGAGTCTGCAGAGCTCCTTGCGAAGAATCTGGCCTGGGGCGGCAGTAAGAACAACTACTCGGTGCCTAGAGCATGCACGGTCTGTGCGCCCCAGCACAGGGCCGCGGGGAGGCTGGGGGGCAACCAGCCGGCCAGGGTCGCCGCGCAGGCGCACAGAGGACAGCACCGCACGGGCCCCGTGGCTTCCCGGCGCTCCCGGGGCACGGTCGGTCACCCAGCCCGGGCCTCGGCTGAGTGTCGGACCACAGACAGGCCCGCGCCCGGGGCACTGGGGCCCTCAGAGCGCCTAGGGGAGAAGGCCAAGTACGAGGCAGGGGCCTGGGCTCTCCTTTTACTGGTTTTATAAACCAGAGTTCTGGCTAAGGTTTCGTTTCCAAAAAAGGTTTCTCTGCTTTGAAAGAGGGGGAAAAAAAAACTGCTTCTTTCCAGCTCTAATATTCTGGGGAACACATTTTGCATCCAATGTTATTTTTTTCTGGTTCTGTAAGATTTGGCATGTATTTTCTCTATTATAAAATTACAGGGGAAAAAAGCTAGCACAGAGGCTTATATGTCACATCTTCACCTCCGTGAAACAGTCGGGCGTATCTGTAACTTATCGGGTAAGTCTCGGCTGGCCTTCCCAAGAGACAACCATTACAATATTCCCTCATGTGAGAAAACCCTGTGACTCTCATAAGGCCCTACCTCATACAGGTGTATCGGAGCTGCCCCGTGGTGACAAAGATGGGACCACCCATACTGAAAAGACCATAGCTGGTTAACACTTTATGGTCTGGCCTTTTTGCCATTTTTTAAAACTCATTATTCTGTGTCTGTAATGACAATCTGTCAAAAACTGTGCACGCGGCTCCTGACTTCCGCGCAAGCGGCTCCTGTCCAGTGTCCCATCTGCGTGACAGGGGGCGAGGAGACGCAGGCCAGGTCTGCAGTCCCGCTGCCCCGGAAGCAAGGGAGCTTCCTGCTGCGGGACTGGGAGGCTCCGTGAGGTGTGACGGCGAAACAATTTCAACCACGTCCAGGCTGGTTCCGAACTACGGAGATCCCGGACCATGTTCCGACAGACAGACGGTTGTCCACATTTCCACCACTGCTTTGACTTCGGCCTTAAACTAAGTGTCTACTTTTACTAGTCTTCTACAAAACACATTTTACAAGCTGTTGTCATTGTTAATTTCTTAAAAGCAAATAAAGCTCTGTAAGTGTCTATTATTCACTAAACAGACCACAAAATTCTATTTCAGTATTTAAAAAAGCAAACAATGGTTATTCCACTAAACAAAGGCACGGCTCCATTTAGACCTCTCTGCGGTCACGGGCTTCTGAACCCACCTGAGGACGGCCCTCCTCTCCTTCCCCAAGGCTCACGTCAGCCTCGCCTAACGCGCCCTCACTGGGCCCCGAAGACGCCGCCGCCGCCGCCCCTACCCGGCGTGGCTGCGCGCACTCCCGGCACGGGGGTAACCGCCGGTCAGCACGTCTGGGTCGCCAGGCCGCTACGCTCTTCGGTATCTGATTTTCATCAAAAGTTTGCTGCGGAGTTTCAGCTCAGAGAGTTGCACTGCATGCATGAATCCATGTATCAACGACTCTCTGACTGAACTAAAAGTCATTCTTGCATATGGCGGCAATGATCCACGGATTAAAGATTCCTCCAACACCCAAACAGAACCATTATGTTTTATTGTGTCTGTCACTCATGGATGAGTGAATTCACTCACATACTTCAGCTAAAATGTTAATGGTTTAAAAAGAATCATCAGCCCTTCAGTGAAGACACCAAAATGGTTCTCTTTCTCTCTCTAACATTAACTCAAAATTAAAGTTAAAAAAAAACTATTGTCTATCCGAATGCATGTTTTAAGTTAAAACATTATGGATAAGCTAAGAAAGCAGTGTTTTACCCCATTAATTCAACAGCTACGCCTCAGCTCAGCACAGCTTCAGATTAAATTGATCGTGTTCACATGGGCATAATAGTCCAGTAAATGTATCAGTAGAAGTTAAAATACAACTTGGGTTCTTAAATTCCACATTGAATAAATGAAGATTTTTAAGGCTCATCACATTAAATGTATTTATTAAGTATAAAGTCTTGAATAAGAACTATACAAAGTGACCTCCTATACAAGTTTGTTCGCTTATTTTTTTAAATCCACTTTAAGGTGTTTAGGGGAAAAGAGGGGCGGTTAAATAATCCCCTTCAAACTAGCTGTGTTTATCGGAAGTTTTATTTTAATAAATATGCATATACAGTTAAAAAAAAAAGTGGTGCTACACTCACACTAAGGCTTCAAAAGCCACGGACGCCGGAATGAAGACTGAGTCACTAACCACCCACTTCCGGTCAGCACCACCTAGCTCACAATCCCATTTTGCAGTCTGAAGGGTGATCTGGAGTGTTTTCAGAAACAGCCTCCATGGGGAGCACTAAATGCAGGCTCACGAAAAACAGGCCAAGGTGGAAACAGCCAACCACCAAGGAGCAAACACCACCAACCGAAGGCCCCAACAGCGGCTGCAAAGGTCCTCCCTGACCGGACAGTGAAACCCACCGCACGTCACTGAGAACGGGAAGCGCGGAGCAGCTGGAAGGGGCATTAACCTCTTAGTTAATCCAGGAGCACGACGGTTAGTAGCAGCTACTCTGCCCAGCAGCCGCCACACCCCGGACGCAGAGTTAGTGACTGCGGCCACGGCAGACGGGCAGGCGCTCCTGCCGCAAAGCCCACGCGCGCCACACCGCAGACAGCACATTACCCTCGAGGAGGCTGTGGGCGAGGCCGGCCCCTCCGCCGCGTCCTCCTGGATAACCTCCTACCAACACAGAAGAGGGTGTGGGTGAACGGCGAGGGGCGGGCCACACGGGGGAGGGCGGCACAGGGGTCAACAACAACAGAAAACACGGACACCTGGGGGGGACCGGTGGCGGCATTTAAAAATTCACGCAGAAGGTTAGGGCCTATAGCTTTTGCCTCCTAATTTAGAAAAATATATTAACAGGGACTTTCTTTTTTTTAAATTATTAAACTAACTTTATCATTAGGAACACCTAAAGTGTTAGAAACGAATGTATTTGGTTTTGAATTAGGATCAATAGTACACCTGAATAATCTCCTTATCCTATTTAATTTCTGCCATTAGCTTAAAATGTTCTTTCAATATATCATTTAATTTTTACATCATAGAGATAACACAGATAAAGATACCATATACGTATATCCTTTAAAAAGATATTTGAAATTAGGAGAGGTAAAGGTTTAGCGCTCAAGTCTGATAAGAAACACTACATTATCAACTAGAAACACTGGTTGTAAACAACTCAGCATATCCCCACTGAGGCTGCTAGTCCCTTCCTTCCGCAGATATTTCACAGATATGAAAGCAAAATACATTTTACGTTAGTAACAGCTTATGTTTCTTAAAATTATTTATAAAATAAGTTGCACTCTTTCACTACAGAAAGGAAATAACGCTAATGTTCTAATGTTTGTTATTAGATTAATACTTTAGTTACCCTTTTTTATACTTACTAGGCCACTGCTTTGATCTCTGGGCAAATTCGATTTTACGGACGGACGTGAGATGAGGTGTTGGGAACCGCCAGGGTAATACCGTGGCGTGTAAAGGTGTGGGGCAAAGAACGGCTATGGAGAAAACACGTAACAAAAGAATGGGGTGAACAATCACAGAAATCAAAATGTGATGAGAGTTATCGAATGAAACTGACCAATGAAATACGACTCCAGATTTTTAATGCAAATGACAAAAGAAAAAAGCCGTACTCATATTCTATAAGCTATGAAACCCAAACTTGACATATTGTTTAAATTTTTATATTGTTGACATAATAAAAGCATTTTTTTTAAGCAACAAAAGTTTTACACCTGGTAAGTTGACATAAGAGTTTCTTTTATGGGCTTGTTACTGTGTGTCAGGCTCTAAGTGATTTGTAAATATTAACTCGCAATCTCTTTTTTAAAAAAGCAAAATAGAATCTTAATAGAAAGCTATTCTTTACAAAAAAAAAAAATTAAGCCTTAAGATAAAAAAAAGTCTTGATTATATGAAGGCACCCTCACATGGACTCCAAGAATCTTTGTTAACCTAGGTTCCTAGAGTTTATTCTGTCTCCTGAAGAACAGCGTATTTTTAAATGGGGAGTCCACTGTCCAGGTGAGATTTATAACTACAGCATTTATTTGCAACAAGCTTCTTGGTAACAGGCACTATCAGATTACACAGGCTAAAAAAAAATGATTAAAATTCCCCAAGGTTCATTACACTGAAGTAACACCTTTATTACTCCTGCTATTTTAAGGAAATTATTCTGCTTTTACTTTCAGACTAAAAACCTCAAATAACTAGAGCAAAAAAACAACTAGCCCTAAAAACATGAGAAAAATTTAAGTATTTTGAAAATAGTAAGTTATTAAAGTAGCAGTGACTGTCATTCCTGTAAAATTAGTGAACACAAGGTCCCAGCCTAGATGGTTCATGGTCTCAAAAGATTAACTGTTATTTAAAGATAAGTGAAGGCCTTTTAAATAAAATTACAGCAGATTTTAAGACTGGTAAACAAAACCTGCATTTCAAACGGTCTACCACGCAGTTAAAGTTCACAGGGATGGGATACATTATAAAATGCTATTGTTGCACTTTCTTCTCCTTGTCAGAGTAAAAGAATGGGAAAACATTTTGAGGACCTCTTAGAACCGTGTAATTAATTACTTATATGGCCAACATTTCTCAAACTGAAAATTTAGTTTAAATTCTGGAATTCCTTCTTTGCTATATTCTAAACTTCTCTTTCTTCCTAGCTCATATGAACTTTACACAGGCATGCACTTGGCTTCTAGATTATTAGTCCCTATGTTTTCTCAAATTAGACTAAAAAGGGAGACGACCAACAAAACAAAAACAAAACAAAAACAAAAACAAAAAAGAAAAGAAAAAGAAACTGCAGTGGACCAAAGAAGGAGTCCCAGGAAGCCTGACACCAGGCTCTGTCCCCGCTCCGTTCTCCCGTCGGAGACACCCGTGTTCCCAGGACCGCGCGGGCAGTACAGGCCTGCGGAGCCTGGCAAGGCCCACACACTGTGGCAATGAGCTGCACTTTCATCTTTCAGACAGAAATTATCACACTTACACTAAGTAAACCGTTACATGTGACTGAGGATCACTTGAAATGAGACTCTAGAAACGGGCTACAGTGCTCTCATTTGGTAATAACATCTGAGTCCCACAAGTGTGTTTTCTGTTCTTATCTCACGTTTAAAAACTATAATATATAGTAAATATAGGTTTATTGAACTGTAGAAATTTGTGTTTATCATTATTTTAAATGCCAATATAAGTTATTATACAAAACATAACAAATCAAACTTTTATCAACAAATAGATCCCTCTGAAGCACAGGCCAGTCTCTGCTGACTCTGAAGAGTTCACTTCCTTATCAAGATAATAAATAAAAGCAAAAAGCGTGCTAATATTCAGATTCAACCGACATCTAGAACCCACTGAAATTCTTTTGATTTTTAAAACATGCACGAGGCAGGGACCCAATAAAACCCTGGAATTTATTTACAAAAAAGTTGTGTATTTATTCTTACATGTTTTTAAACTTTAGTCACTTCCCAAGTCCTCTCCATCTGATGCAATACACCTACTGAGATACCTTTTCCACTGCTCGAAACGATTTTTGAACTCATCAATTTAGATGCTTTTTAGGGTTTCTGCCATTTTTTGTTTCCCCTCTTCCACATCGGCAAAACGTTTCCCTTTGAAGGTTTTTTTCATCCAAGAAAATAAAAAAAAAAGTCATCCAAGGTGAGACTGGGTGACTAGGGAGGGTAGGGCACGGGGGTCCTGCCGATTTGGGCCCAAAACTGCTGAACACTCAGCGTGGTGTGGGCAGGGGCGCTCATAAGTCACCCATCATGAAGTGGGCAAATACACTTTTTTGAAAGAGTCTTCAAAAAACTTCACTGAAGCTGAACGCAGCCTCTTACAACAACGCCAGCTGGTGCACTGAGGCAGATGGGCTCCTCCTATCGGTGGAAGCCTGGACTACAAGGGGCCCGCCCTCCAGGAGGTAATTCCAGGGTTTTGGGGTCCCCCCTTGTATACTGAATTCAAATTTAACTTTTTCCCAACTTTAAAGCTTAAGTATAGTTTCAAAATAACAGGCTCCATAAGCACAAGTCGCGCCATGGAAGAGTCCTCGCCGTCCTTACCCTGTTGTAGAACGGGTGCTGGGGCCCCGTCATGCCGCTGTAGTAGCTGCTGTGCGGCTGCGGGGAGAGCACCCCGCCTCCGAACGGCCCATTGAAGGACGTGGAGGAAGAGCAGACGGACGGAGCCTGGCTGTAGCCCGACGGCGGTCTGGGGGGCGCTTCGTGCAGAGGGAGCGCGGGGTAGGCAAGCCCACCGATGTTCATCTGGTCTCTCGCGGCTCGGACGTCTGAAAGACGGAGGGATCGCCAGCAGGCGGGAGAAAACAGGACGCTGGCGGTCAGCCCCGCTGCCACCGCTGCCGGCGGCAGGAGCTGTCTCTCCGCCAGGGAGCCCCGGGTAAAGCGGCGCGCAGGACCCTCGCGGCCGCGGACCCACCCCAAGGCGCGCAGCTCCCAGGCACAGCGGCTGCTTCCGCCGCACGGGGGGCCGCCGGCGCCTGGACGCCCCGCTTCAGTGAGCGACACTGCACGTCTTCCTTGGGCCCTGTAAGGCGCGCTGGGCTGCTCTGACAAGGCCCGAGATTGCGACACGCTGGCCACGCCGAGAGCCCGCGCCGTCTAGGGTCAGCGAGCGCAGAGCCCGCCGGGGCTGCGCCGGCCGCCGCCGAGCGAGCGGGAGCCTAGCACAGAGCGCGGGCTGGAGGGGCGCTCCCAACGCGGGGCTCCACGGTGGCCAGCCCTGCCCGACCACACCGAAGCCCTGAGCGTCAGCACAGGCAGGCGTGCGTGCGCCGCTGGAACGGCCCGCGACACCTGCAGAGCTTCGCGACAGCCGCAGAGCTTCGCGACAGCCGCAGAGCTTCGCGCCGCGGCCCAGAGTCCCGCCGGCTCAAGGTTCGAGAGGGGGCTAGAGCGCTCCGTACCTCTCGGGGGAAGGCCTCCTTCCGAACAGAGGACTGGTGACACAGAGACCACAGGAGGCTGGCATGTCACAGCGGGACTAACGGGACTAACGGTAAAGGGCCTCTTACTGGGGGCAGGGCCTCGGGTGTGTGGGCGCGGCCCCAGGAAAGTGCGCAGAACAAGCGGCACTTTCCCGACAGCCCCGAAAGGACGCCCGGACCCCAGGACCCCGACGCTAATCCTCGGTGCTAATCCTCCTGCGCAGCGCGGGGCTCAGCGCTTCTTGGTTTTTCACGGAGCGGGAGCGGGGAAACTTAACGTAGCTAAATTAAAAACAGGAGAATGTTTGAGGGCTTGAGAGGAGAAAAACGAGATTTGCCGCCGCTACCCACCAGCAATGATTTCCCGTAGCTTGGGGTCCAGGTTCACAGTGCACGGCAGAAACGTTTTCACATCTCGCGCCACAAGGACTGGGGTCCTTGAAGACAGAAACACCTCGAAGTTTCTGATATCGCCATCGATTTCAAGCAGTGGCTCCACATCTTTAGTTGTTGGAATATTCTTTGATATTCTTCAAACAAGAAACAAGTGAAAAAGGTCATTAATGTCACCCGAAGAAAGGCAAAATCAGTATATAACAAAATTCGTTATAAAAAGAAATAACACATTACATGCTTTGGGGTCCTTGAATTTTTTTCAAAGAAAAAGACACAAAGTAAGTGGCATAGTACAACTAAGGTAACTCCTAAGGTAACAGAGGCCGGACCTGGGCCGGGAACGAAGGAGGGGGAGTCCCACGAACGCAAGGCGCCGCCCGCGCCAGCGACCCTCTGGGGGAAAGGCAGCGAGCTGCCCCTCCGCGCGGGGGCTGTGGGCTCCAGCCGCGTGCACAGCCGCCTGCAGCCACGAGAGACCCGGATGGCTCGAGCGCTGTGTGCATCGCGGCGCACCATGCCTTTGCAAAGGGGAAACAAAAGAATGCTACTTAAACAAAGTACACAAACCAGAAGAAAGTTAGCACGGGTTTCTCCTTTTAAAAAAAAAAAGAAAAAGTCTTTATCTTCTATTGCAAAAGTAATATATGCTTACTCCTTAAGCATATTCATAGGGCAGAGAAGTACAGAAAAATAGTGAAATTAGACATAACTACTAAAGTGTGCCACTTAGTAATTAAATATCATAATAACAGTCATTATGCAGAGTTTTTTACATGGTTGAGTCTCTATGTAACTTTGTATCAGGCTGCGTCTGTAAACATAAAAAGGACGTCCTTGGACATGGGCCACAGTGTGGTAGGCACGTCAGCGTGGGGTGTGTGCAGGTGGGAGGGTATAGAAGGGTAAACGGTAATGGGAAAAAATTTAAATAAAATTTTTTAAATACTTAGGAAATACTTCATTCTGTCCAACTATATAAAACTGCCATTTTTTCAGTCAAAATGGTCAAATACTGACAATCCCATGTGGTTCAACCTGCCACACGCAAGGTCAGGTGCCAATCTGAGGCAATAGGCGAAAGTGCACCACAGAGAAATAAAGGTAGAAAATATGAAAGACAGCTGAGAAGACAAGGAGGCAGAGGAGAAAACCGGAAACAACCCCAATGTCCGCTAACAGAGGAAGAGATGACTCACTTGCAGTCCATCCACATAATGGATGTCGCAGAAAAAAGGGGTGAGCTGTCAACGTGCATCAGAGTCCTGATAAATCACACGGAGGGAAAGGATACAGCCCCCAGAGAGCGCAAAGCTGCAGGTCTTCGCCACCTGCAACCAGAGGCGGGAGCCAGCCTGCAGTGACCGAAGGAGCACAGAGAGGGCTCCCTGTGAGGCCCGGTGCGGGGAGAGAGCAAACAGGAAGGGACACCCAGGGAACAGGAGGAGACTTCTGTGAGTGACAGATGCACCCCCTCTCCTGATGGCGGCGATGGTTTTGTGGGTAAATACAAACATGTCAAAACTCGTGGAGTTGTACAATTTTATGTCACTTGTACCTCATAAAGCTACTTAAAAATCACTGTGCATTTGGAGCTATCTGCAAAATGCTCCACTCCCAGTTAGTCAAGAATATCACCTGTTGGATTTTACTGAGCACAGTTCCAGAGGAGCAGTTACATTTCTCAAGCTCTTTCTCGAGCGGGATGGGACTTTGCCCTGACGCCAGTCACAGCCACATTCTTTCCCTGGGACTAGGACTGTGCTGCCGAGACCCCGCATTTGGCTAGGAGCCCAATATTACAAGGGAAAATCCAGAGAACACAATTAGCAAACGAGAAAAAACTAGGGAACTGGTGGGAAGCAAGGGGTGGCAACTTTTTCTTAATAAATTTCGAGACGTCCCTTCTACAGACTCAGGCACACGTGCACAAAGTAGAAATACCCTCTGAAATGGGATCACCTCTCAATAAAATGGCACTGAACCTGATGGCTAAGTGTATTTAAAATGAGATGGTAGCCGTGCAGAACGGTTGCACAGGATCATTTGCAGAAGTGTACAAAAATCAGAGCATAAACAGTTAAGGTAGTTCGTCTATTTCAGGAGTTTAACATAAAATACTAAGAAGAGAAGCTAGAAAGATTTAGATAAAAACACACAGCTGACAAATCACATGAAGCAAATTAACCGAGTTTCGATGCCAGCTCTGCTTACGCCTGAATGTGAACAGTGCTCTCAACATGGAGAACAACCCCGCTGTCCCCAAGCCGGCCGTCTGCCACCGCGGTCCAGACCGGGGCTCTACTCTGACCTTTGAGCTTAGTACGGCGAACTCTTCTACTGAAAGAGGCATTTATGCAAATGATAATCTTTTGGCAGTGCGTCACCAAAATCATATGTGCCTTTATTTTTTTTCCAGATATTTTTTCCAAAGGTTAGTATTTAAAGAATTTAAGTAACTTCACTTTTCAATTAAGAGTGAATTTAAATTCTCAGTATTATGAGTCACGTGAATTAAAGTTGCCAGCAGCTAAAGGGCCCACAGAAAGCTTTATAAAGCCTCAGGCATGAGTGGGTTCCCAGTCAGCTTAAAAGCAATCCAGCAGTACTTGTTAATGCCAAGATCAGTGTAAATTAAAAGCATTTTGATTATAAATGACAGTGGTTTATAGAAAGTCCATATTAATGCCTTGGCAGAAATTACATAAGCCATTCCTATTACTTCCATTCAAAATGAGGTTTTAAATTACATGGGAAAAAAATTCTATTTAAAATCAAAATATAAACAGGTTCTAAGAGCATCATTTATGGAGATGGCATCACTTATCACACTTTATCTAAAAGTCGCTGCCTAAAATGTCATTATTTAATCATAAGAGGTTAAAAATTAAGATAAATTTTCCTAAAAATTTTGAACAGGAAAAACTCTTAACTGTCTCAGAATTTTATCACCATGAAACAAATTTAACTTCTGGTAGACTTTCAGATCCTCCAAAGTGGATGCCCGTTCATTAAATACGCGCTGTGCACAGAGCCCGTCTGGAGTCCTCGGGGACCGACGGGATAGACAGCAAACGGCCACCCTGCTCTGCTGCCGAAGGGCCGGCAGCAGCAGACAGAATGGCACCCCTGGCGAGCCCGCAGCACCTGTGGGAAGACAAGCAAAGCCCACACAGGGGCCCGCTCCGCCGTCTCACCGGGTGGTTGGCGCCGCTCCCCCTCTGCAGCGCAGCCCTGCCCGAGCCCGGAGGCGCCTCCCTCTTACGAGCCTCGTAGGCCAGACGCTTTCACGCGGCCCACAAGTCACAACGGGAACGCGATATTCGTTAGAGGAATTGCTTCGGTACTGTCTGCCTCCTCGTCTTGGCTGTAAATGCCCTTAATTCCAGTCAAGTTGGGAGCAGCATGGCTTTGTTTGCCGTTGTACCTCTGGTGCCCTGTGCCGGCCGCTACCTTGTTTCTTTGGGCTAATAAACACTTGCGGAGTAAGTAAACTACACGTGAAAATATATCGGTCCCAATGAACTTACCCTTCTAAAATAATTCTCACTTCAATTCTTTCTGATAAGAGGGGGAAAAAAACCCTTGAACTTGGGAGGGTGCAGGATGACTGAGTTAACTTTTGTGAAATGGGTCCGACTGCATGCACCCTTTCTGCGTGGGGCTGCCCAGGGGTCCCGCAGCACCTGCTGAAGAGGCCCATCTTTGTCCGCCGAACGGAGCTGGCACCCCCATCGAAGCCGACTGGCCACAGACAGACAGGTTTATTCTGGACCCTCTCGCCCGTCCCGTTGGTCGGTACCCTTCTGCCGGCGCCGCACTGCTTGGACTACTGTTGCTTTGTGGTAAGTTTTGAAGTTGAGAGTTCTCCAACTTGGTCTTCCTTTTGAGATTGTTTCAGCTGTTTGGGTTCCCTTGTAATTTACTGGAATTTGAAGACCAGGTTTCTGTTTCTGTCTAAAGTCTACTGAACCTTTGACAGGGGTTGCACTGCATCGGTAGACCACTTTGGGTAATACTGACATCTTCATATTTAGTCTTCTATCCATGAACACAGGAAGTCTTTCCACTTCTTCAGATTTTTAACCTGTCCATTTTTGTAGTTTGCAGTGTGCAAATATTTAACCTTGCTGCTTAGAATTTTTTCTTGTGGATTTTTGGGACTTTCTATATACAGGACCATGCCGTTTGCTATGAGAGGTAACTTTAGTTTGCCCTTTCCAGCTTGGTGTGTTTCTTGTCTGGCTGCGCCGGCTTGAGCTTCTAGCGCAATGCCAAGAAGCAGCTGCGGAAGCGAGTGGCTCGACGCGCTCAGACTGCGGCGACAGAACACCCCAGGCTGCGTGGCCACAACAGCACTGACCTCCCGCAGTTCTCACAGTCGGGACATCCCAAACCTGGCTGCCGGCAGGGCCGGGATCCAATGGGAACCCTCTTCCAAGTGTGCAGCTGGCACACGGCTCTTCTGACAAGGTAAGCCCCTCGGGGGGACTCTACCCTCCTGGCCTCGTCTACAGCTACTCACCTCCAAGAGGCCCCGCCTCCGAACACCATCACCATGCGGGGGCGAGGGTGTCTCAACATACGAATTGAGGGGCAACACATCCAAGGCAGACAAGGCCTCCTTGTCTTGTTCCTGTCTTTGGCGGGGAACAAAGCCTTTCACCGCCGGGCACGGCGGTGGCTGCGCATCTGCTATGAATGCCCTTTATCGCGTGTGCAGCTCCTTCCATGCCCAGTTTTCTGAGTGTTTTCACCTGGACAGGGCGCTGTGTTTCGTGGGATGCCTTTCTGCATTCACTGAGCGTTCTCTTGCACTCCTTTCTATTTCTGTAAGAGTGATGATAATGTCTATACTTTCTGACTGTAGTTATTTGTGGTCTTCTCTTTTATTTCAGTCTAGCAAAAGTTTTGTCAACATCGCTGATCTTTGCAAAGAAACAACTTTTGGTTTAATTGATTCTTACCATTGTCACTATAGTCCTATTTTACTGGCCTCCGCTCTAATCTTCATTCCCTTCCTTCTGCTAGCTTTGAAACGCCTAAGATTTGTTCTCTTTCTGGTTCCTCAAAGGTGTAAGGTTCGGCTGTGGACGGAAAACACACCTTTTCTAATGTAGGTATTTCCAGGCGTACC